GGCCTCGGCCCCGCGCCTCCCGCCCCCGCGCTCGCCGCCCCGCTCTCGGCTCCGCTTCCGACGCTCCCCGCCGCCTCCACCGCCGCCGCCGCTCCGGTGCTTGTGCTTCTTGTGCTCCCGATGCCGCGGCGGCTGCTCCGTGGCGCCCCCGGCTCCAGCCGCCGCCGTCGACCCAGCCGCCTCCTTCTCTCCGCGGTGCTTCTTGGACGAGCCCATGGTACAGCGTCCTCCCGGAGCCGGGCCGCCGCCGAGCCCCGACTACGCAAAATGGAAACACTTCCGGGTCGCAGAGCCGCCGCGCTCCTGTTGCCGGAAGCTAAGAGGAGCCTCTTCCGTAACGGGCCTGGGAGTCTGTCCCAAAGGCTTATGGGAGGATAGGTTAGGAGCCGGACTGAGCCTTCCGGGCTGCCTCGGCCTGGGTGGTGCTGTGTGCGCATGCGCTCCTGTAGGGGTTGCGGAAACCGCCTTACGTCAGTCCTAGAGATGTGACGACTTAGAGCTGCCATCACTGGAGTTGGACGCTTTCTCCTTCCTCCTCTTGCACTCTGTTAACCTCAAATCTCTTCTCCTTAGGGCTCTGGCTGTGCCCTGGGCTGCTAATGGACTCCCCAGGAGTGTGTGCCCCTGAACCCCTTGAAGTTGAGTGCATTTTGGTTTTTTTTTGGGGGGGGGGTCTTTGTACCCCAGGCTGGCCTCGAACTCTTGGTGATTCCCCCTGTCTTAGCCACCCATGTGATAGGATTTCAGGCTTCTACCCCGGTGCCAAGCTTGAGTGTATATTTGATACTTTTGTGTGACTGCAAATTGGGTTCTTTTTTGTGTTTTGAATCAGGGTCTTATTCTATAGCCCAGGCTAACCCGGAACTTACTATGTAGCCCAGGCTGCCGTGGAAGTCGTGGTCATCTTCCTGCATTCACCTCCCAGGTGCTGAGATTGCAGGCATGAGCAACCACACCTGCTTGCCCAGCCCTTTCGTGTCTCCGTGTGTGTGTGTGTGTGTGTGTGTGTGTGTGTGTGTGTGTGTTGAGGAGAGGGGCTTTAAAGTTAGAGGTTCATACAATCTCCTGTTTGGGTGTGTTTCATGCCCCCCCCACCTTAAAGCCCAGCTCTAGGACTAGGAGTCCTCAAAGGCAGACTTTTGTCACTCGAATTTGTAGGTCCCAGCATATATATGTTGGAGAAAGGATGGAGAAGTCTCAGCTACCCCTTTCCAGATGTCTGCTCCAAGAATTTGCTGGGGGAAGGAGTGCATTTGGGCCCCTGGGGGAAACAGCTAAGCCAGAGCCCCCTCCCGCCTTGTCACTTCTTTCCCAATCCACAGCTAGCCCCCCTCAGAAACCTCACACTGTATTTGCCATAAAACCTTTAATTTTTATCTTAGGGACTGGGTTCTGGGTTCAGGGGAGGGGAGGGGTGTCTGCCAGACTGGCTTGTAGTAGATTCTGTCTTGGGGGCTCTTCGAAGAGGGCTCCATTTCGAAGGAGCCCTCTTCTTGGGGGGCTCTTCGAAGAGGTGCTCCTTAAAGACACAGACGGCGGCCAGTGGGCTCCACAGCTCCCCGTCCTATGCCCAATGCAGCCATTCATCCTGTGAATCCAGCTCTTAGCTCCTGTACTGATTACTGTGAACCCCTTGGAAGTGACACCCCTGTTGCAGTCTGTTTCCTTATTGAGGAATGAGACTGTACTAAATCTGCTCTGTACCAAATTATTCTAAAATGTAAAGGACAGTATCCATTAGGGTGACCAGTATGGCACCAGCTGCTAATGGGGACTTGGTGTATGGCAGCGCAGAGTCCCAAACTAGCTCTGCTCTGCTTCTTATGTCCTCAGTAACATCCTGCCCCCGGAGTCCTTAGTTTTCTTACTAAAACGTTCAAGCAATAACTGTGGCCCACCTTCCTGAATGACTCAGAGAATGATGCAGGAACCAGAGGCTGGTGTGGGGGCTGTGGCCCACCACAGCTGGCAGAGCCATGTTGGTTGGCCAGGTGACCTCACCTGTGTTTCTGGGAGGTGCCTTCAGTGCTTCCTGCCTGAGCCAATAGCTGCTCCTCATCCACTCCCAGTGCTGACAGCACCTGGGAGAAGCGCCTGTTTGCTGTGAGCCTGGCATTGGTCTGATGAAAGAGAAGAGGGGTTCCTATCTTCACCAAGGCTGTCGAGGTCACTGTGGGGTCTCAGGACTTAAAGGAACCCTCAGATAGGTCCTCTGCTCCCACCTTGCTTCCCCACATGATTGGCAAGGCAGCTCCTTCCTCAGGGGTGGTGTCTGCCTGCTCAGGTCTCAGTCCTCACCTGCATGGCCTGCTGGAACAGGAAGGGCCGGGCCTGCACCCTGTGCTGGATGCCCTGCAGCTCTGCCTGGTATGCCACAAAACGCTGTCGCTCCTTGTGCCTGTGGGGAAGATGGACTTCAGGGCAGCTAACTGAACATTCCCCAGGTCAGAGCCCGCTAAGGACGTCCTCACTGAGGATTATAAACATAAAGTACTGCCCTGACTTTTACAGAATCATTTCTTTCCCAACCTGGCGCTGTATTTCTTGGATGGGATTATCATGTGGGAATTATTTGCCACATTTTACTGATGGCTTATTTTTTTTTTTTTTTTCTTTTTTGGTCTTTTTGAGACAGGGTCTCCCTGCAGCCCCAGCTGGCCTGGATTTGCTGTGTAGACCAGGCTGGCTTTGAACTCACAGAGATCCACCTGCCCCTGCCTCCCCAGTGCTAGGATTAAAGGCATGCACCACCACACCTGGTGTTATTTGCTTTTTTTTAATTAAAAAGGAATTTGTACAAGGTTGTACATCTGGGAAGCGAAGGATTGAGTCCCCTCCCCTCCTTCCCTTCCCAAGTGTAGGCTCTACAGCCAGGGTTTGCACATCCTTCTGGCCACCCCAAGGGAGGGGACCAGCTCTGACTTGTGAGCACCTGCTTGCACAGGTCCTCCTCTTCTGCTGCGGCTCTGTGGAGGACGAAGTGGGTATGGGCTGTGTGACTTGGGAAGGCCCCTCTCTAGGTTCGGTTCTCTTCCCCGTGGGAGGGATTGGGCAGGCATGCCAGTATTCCCTTTGCTTTCTGAATGTGGACAGCTTTGGAAACAGGACAAAGGAACCAAGGAAATACATTGTAAATAAAAGGACAGATCCCAGAACTGGGTGTGGTGGCCAGCCCTTGGGAAAGTGGAGCAGTAGGCTGGCCTGGGTTCCAGGCCAGTATGTACTGCAGAGTGAGACCCCATATCAAAAATAAAACAAAGGGGTTGGAGAGATGACTCTGGTTAAAAACACTGGCTGCTCTTGCAGAGGCCCCAGGTTTGGTTCCAAGCACCCACATGGTGGCTAACAACCGTCTGTAACTCTAGTTCCAGGGGATCTGATGATGCCCTCTTCTGACCTCCCCAGGCATTGCATGACATGGGTGCACTTACCTCCATGCAGGCAATACATTCATACACATAAAATAATAACAAAAACGGAAAAGAAGTATCTGGGATGCACCTGAGAAACATCTCCATTTACAAAAATTCAGTGTGGGAGGTCAAGATAGCTCAGCAGTTAAAAGGACTTGCCAGGCTCAAGCCTGGTAACCTGAGTTTGATTGGAGCCTACAAAGTTATAACCACCACATGCCGTGACATCCCCCACCCCACCCCATCATGCACACCTACAGTTATAAAGTCATATGTAACCCTGGCTGGCCTGGAACACACTATGTAGACCAAGTTAGCCTCAATCTCAGAGATTTATCTACTTCTGCCTCCAAAGTGCTGGGACTAAAAGCATGCACCACCACGCCCAACCTAAAAGTTAAAAATTTTTTGAATTCAGTGTATGAGGCTGGGTTCCATCCCCAGAAGCACATAAACTTGGCATGGGATCACATGCCTGTAATCTTAGCACTGAGGAGGTAGAGGTAGGAAGATTACAAGTTCAAGGTTATCCTTTGCTACTTAGTGAGTTCCAGGCCAGCCAGGGTTACATAAGACTATGTAACTGCTTAACCAGGCTAGTGTTATACTGCCTTTCATCGGGAGAGCATTCATCCTGTCAGCAAGTGGCCTTTGTACCACACCCCTCACAGGATCAGTCCTTCCTCAGTAAAGCACATAAGACACACCCAGGGTGTAGTGGCAGTACCGACAGACAGCATGGAAGGAACAGACAGACTTGTGCTGGGCTCTCAAGTGTGTGTGTTGGGCCCTGTGGGAAAGCCCTGCTAGCCCAGGTGCCAGCAAAAGAATCTTCCTCCATCGAGAAAACAAAATGTGCATTTGGAAAACCATGCCAGGACCACAGCTCCTTTAAGAAGAAAGTCTTTGAGCCAGGTGTGGTGGTGCACACCTTTAATCCCAGCACTCGGGAGGAGGCAGAGGCAAGTGGATCTCTGTGAGATTGAAGCCAGCCTGGACTACATAGCCAGTTCCAGGCCAGCTGTGGCTATAGGAAGACCCTATCTCAAACAAACAAAAAATAAGAGCCTTTGTAGCCAGGCACAGTGGCACAGGCCTTTAGTCCCAGCATTTGGGAGGCAGAGGCAGGCAGGGCTATAAGAAGACCCTGTCTCAAAGAAAAAGAAAAAGCTTTATCACTCAGGCCTCAGGACTTTACAGCAATTACAAATGTGGGGGAAGTCATGAGCTGGTATTAAGTCTGTATTTTTTTAATATTATTTTTATTTTATGTATATGCATGTATTGCCTGCATGTAGGTAAGTGCACCCGTGTCATGCAGTGTCCAAGAAGGTCAGAAGAGGCTGTCGGATCCCCTGGGACTGGAGTTTCAGACAGTGGTTAGCTGCCATGTGGGTACTGGGATTTGAACCCTGGTCTTCCGCAAGAACCGCCAGTGTTCTTAACTGCTGAGCCATCTCTCTAGCCCTTATTTTTATTTTATGTGTGTTTTGCCTACTTGTATGTAAGTGCCCATGGAGGGCAGAAAAGGGAATTGGACCCAGTAGAACTGGAGTCATAGATAGTCGTTAGCCATCACATGGGTGCTGGGAACTGAACCTGGATCCTCTGCAAGAGCAGCCAATACTCTTAACTGCTGAGTCATCTCTCCAGCCTAAGTCTGTATATTTTGCATGATGTCCTGTGTGTTTTTCTTGCTATATACTTTTTTTGGGGGGGGGGTCTTTGAGACAGGATGTTCCTGTAGCCCCTGCTGGCCTGGAACTTGCTATGTAGACCAGGCTGGCCTTGACTCACAGAGATCCGCCTGCCTCTGCCTCCTGGGTGCTGGAACTAAAGGCATGGGCCACCACACCCAGTGCTATATACTTAAAAAAAAAAAATCAAGGAGTAGCTGGAGAAATTCTGGGCACATAGTTTGTAAGACAGTTCCTTTGTTGCTTTCTATTTATCTTCTGGATAATAAAAGTTCCCATTTGGGGGCTGAAGAGTTGGCTCAGTGGTTAAGAGCAGTGACTGCTCTTGCAGAGGACCCAAATTTGATTCCCAGAACCCACATGGCAGCTAACAACCGTCCCTAACTCCAGTTCCAAGGAACCTGATGCCTTCTTCTGACCACCTTGGGCATTGTATGACATGGGTGCACTTACACATTTGCAGGCAACACACTCATACATATAAAATTTTTTACTATTTTATTTTATTTTTTTTATGTGTACAAGTGTATTGCCTGCATGTATGTGAGTGCACCCGTGTCGTGCAGTGCCCAGGAGGTCAGGAGAGGGCTTCGGATTCTCCTGAAACTGGAGTTAAGAATGGTTTGTAGCAACCATGTGGGTGCTGGGAATCGAACCTGGGTCCTCTGCAAGAGCAGTCATTGCTCTTAACCACTGAGCCATCTCTCCAGCCCCATACATATAAAATTTTTTAAAATTATAATAAATCGGGGCTGGAGAGATGGCTCAGTGGTTAAGAACACTGACCGTTCTTGAAGAAGACCCAGGGGATCTGACAACTTCTGTCCTCTGCGGGCATTGCATGACATGGGTGCACTTACCTACATGCAGGCATAACACTCATACACATAAAATAAAAATATTTTTTATTATAATAAATTAAATTTTCAAAAATAAAAGGTCCCAGTTAAAGGTTAGGCTATTTTCCTTATCTCACAACCAAGTAAGATATTATAAACATCTTCATCTATGAAATGCAGGAGTAGCCTGCCACCCAGCTGCTTTGCCCAGCAAGCCCTTCATGCCCCTGGCCTCCTACCTGAGCTCCTCTGGCTTGCGCTGAGCAATCAAGGCTCCCTGGCTCCCTTGGGGTATGTAAGCTGCCAGACAGCGAGCCACCTGCTGCTGAACATGGTGCTCCCTGGCCCTGCGAATCTGGGCCTGCTGCTGCTCCTCCAACAGCTGGTACTCCCAAGCCTGCAGCAGGTTTCTGGTGGGGAGAGGAAAAGAAGAGGAGAGGGAGATGTCCATGGGGGATCAGGAGCTGTGAGGAAGGCCAGGGTAACATAGAGAGTATGGGGGTGAGGGAGGGGGGCAGTCGGGGGCTGGGGGTGCCAGAGAGCCAAAGCCCTGGGAAGGAAATAGGATTTTTCAAGGAAGTTGGGCCTCATGGAGCCCACATCTGGTAGTTTGGCCACTGGAACCAGCTTAAGGCCTTTCCCTACTCTCCATCAGGGAGTTCCAGCTCTAAGCATCCTTGGCCCAGGCCTCCTGGGCTCCTGTGGAGCTCAGCACACAACCTAGGACCCCTCTGCCATTGCTCATATTCCCTTGCAGAAAAAAGCCAGATCTTTCCTCTGATCACCTTGTCTGACAGCAGTTAATGCCCAGCAGTTTTGGATGGATAGAGAGATGGATGAATGGATGGAAAAGAATCCACATGTAGAAGGGATCAGTAGAAAGAGCAGGTGGATGAAAGGTGTGATCATTTAACAGCACTAGACAGACCTGGAACATTCTTCCCCAGATATCATGGCTAATCATGTCTTTGTTCAAATGCCATTCATCCCAGAAGGCCTTCCCTGGCCACCCCATCTCCTTCCTGGGAATTTCCCACCTCCAGATACACATTTTTTTTTGTCTTTTTGAGACAGGGTCTCCCTGTAGTCTCAGGTGGCCTGGAGCTTGCTATGTAGACAAAGCTGGCTTTGAACTCACAGATATCCACCTGCCTCTGCCTCCCAAGTGCTGGGATCAAAGGCCTGCACCACCACACCCAGTTTCTAGATACACATTTTGATAATTTCATTATGTATGTAGGCTGGCGTCCAGCTCTATATAGCTAAACTCTCCTCTCTTTGCAGCTTCAACTTCTGAACCTCATTCCTCTACCTCCAGGGTGCTGGGATTACAGGCATGCACCAACCACTGGCCTTCAAAGCTATATTAAGGGGAAAAAAGAATTGGAAACGTACTCTCTGATTTAATAATATACTACAAAACTGTAGTAACCAAAACAGCATGATACTGAGATAAAATACACAGATGGCTGGGCATGGTGGCACACGCCTTTAATCCCAGCACTCCGGAGACTGAGGCAGGTGAATCTCTGTGAGTTCAAGGCCAGCCTGGTCTACAAAGTGAGTTTCAGGACAGCTGGGGTTACAGGGAGACCCTGTCTCAAAAAAAAAAAAGAAAAATATAGAAGTTCCTCAAAAGAATTAAAACTAAAGCTAGGTATGATGGCACGCACCAGTACTTGACAGGCTGAGGCAAGAGAGTCATGTGTTTAATGCCAACTTGGGCTACATGAGAAAAGCTTTTTTATAGGAATGGAGAGATGGCTCAGGGGTCAATGGCACTGGCTGCTCTTGCAGAGGACCTGAATTTGTTCCCAGCACCCACATGGTGCTTAACAATTGTCCAGTTCCAAGGGATCCGATGCCCTCTTCTGGCCTCTGTGAGCATTGCACAACAGGGGTGCACTTACACACATGCAGGCAAAACATTCATACACATAAAATAAAAATAAACAAAAATGTAAAAAGAGAAGCCTATTTTAAAAAACTCAAAAATGGGCTGGAGAGATAGCTCATCAGTTAAGAGCACTTGCTGCTCTTCCAGAGGACCAGAGTTCAGTTCTCAGCACCCACATTGGGTGACCCATGGCCACCTGTAACTCCACCTTCTATACACACACAGATACACAAATAAAGATAGATCTACTTTTTTTTTTCTTTTGGTCTTTTTAAGACAGGGTCTCCCTGTAGCCCCAGCTGGCCTGGAACTCACTATGTAGACCAGGCTGGCCTCGAACCCACAGAGATCTGCCTGCCTCTGCCTCCTGAGTGTGAGTGCTGGGATTAAAGGCATGCACCACCACGCCCAGCTCTTAGAGCTACTTTTTTTTTAATCAGAAAAACAAGAGGACTAAGGGTGTAGCTTGGTAGTGGAATGCTTGCCTACTACGTGCAAGGCCTTGGGTACCACCCATATTATGGCAACAATTGATAATAAAATCATAAATAAATAAGTAAATAAAATAAACTAGAACTACTCAGCAATCCTACGACCGGCTGTATATCCAGAATGAATCCATGTAAGGAGACACTTGCACTCTAAGTTCATCTTGGCTTTATTTACAGTAAGCAAGATTTGGAAGCAACCTGTGTCCATCCATGACTGAATGAAGAAAGTGTAGAATAGGGGCTGAGGAGGTGGCCCAGTCAAGAAAGCACTTGCCTTGCATTAAGCTCAAGTTTGGATCTCCAGTACTACCTAAGAAGCTGGGCATAGTGGCATGGATCTGTAATCCCAGTGCTCGGGAGATAGAGACAGAGGGATCCCTGGGGCCAGCCAGGCTAGCCCCAATGGCTGGTTCTAGTCTCCACATGCATGCATACTCACACAGGGCCACTCACAGAAAAAATGTGGTAGGTGCACACAGTGGAATACTATTCAGCTTTAAAAGGATATAAACCTGTTCTTTGCAACAACATACATGAGTCTGAAAGACATTATGCTAAATGAAAGAAATCAGGAACAGAAAATGAGTACCACATAATCTTACTCTAAAAAAAGCTTTTCTCTTGGGCCTAGAGAGTAACTGTGGTTCCCAGGTCTGGGAACTGGAGAAGACTAGGTAATACTGGTCAAGGGATACAAAATTTCAGTTAGACAGGAGAAATAATTTCAAGAGATCTATTCTACAATAAGATGACTATAATCATAACAATGTACTAACTGTATATTTGAAAGTCACTAAGAAATTACATTTTAGGTGTTCCCCCAAAAGTATGTGTAGTGATACATATATTAAGTAGTTTGAGTTAGCCACACATACATACAATTTCATTTTGTTTACTATTTAATTAATAATATATTCATTTTGCGATGGGGTCTCCCTGTAGCCCCAACTGGCCTAGAACTTGCTATGCAGACCAGGCTGGCCTCAATCTCAGAGATCCACCTGCCTCTGCCTCCCAAGTATTGGGATTAAAGTCATGTACCACAGGCAGGCCCAGCTGTTTACTTTTTAAAGATTTACTTATTTTCATGTGTATGAATGTTTTACCTGCATGAATGTGTACGCATCATGTGTGTGCAGTGTCCATAGAAGCCAGAAGAGAGCATCAGATTCTCTGGATCTGGAGTTACAAGATGGTTTGTAAGCTGCCATGTGGGTGCTAGGAACCAAACCCAGGTCCTCTGAAGAGCAGTAAATGCTCTTAACCACTGAGCCATCTCCCCAGTACCCACATATACAATTTTTTGTGTCTTTTTGAGACAGGGTTTCCCTGTAGCCCCAGCTGGCCTGGAACTAGCTATATAGACCAGGCTGGCCTCAAACTCACAGAGATCCATGTGCCTCTGCGTCCCAAATGCTGGGACTGCTGGGAACTAAAAGCATATACCATTACACCTGGCTGCACATACACAATTTTAAATTAATGAAAAGCGAGGAATATTTTTTATTATTTTATTTATTATTTTTAGTGTATGCGTGTATTGCCTGCATGTAGGTAAGTGTACCCATGTCACGCAGTGCCCACAGAGGACAGAAGAGGCTGTCGGATCCCCTGGAACTGGAGTTACAGACAGTTGTTAGCTGCCATGTGGGTGCTGGGATTTGAACCCAGGTCTTCTGCAAGAACAACCAGTGTTCTTAATCCCTGAGCCATCTCTCCAGTCCCACAAGGGAATGTTTTTAAAAGGATTAAAGGTGTTCTCTAAGCATGCTGAGTGATGCTGAGCATGGTGGAGGAAGCCTATGAGACAGAAGGATCAGGAATTCAAAGTAGTCCTAGCTGTGTAGTGAATTCATGGCCAGCCTGAACAATGTTCTTGCAAAGTACCCAGGTTCAGTTCCCAGCACCCACAGGTGACTTAACAACGACCTGCAACTCCAGTTCTGGGGATCTAGCGCCCTCTTCTGGCCTCCTCAGGTATTGCATGCACATGATGGCACATGATGCACTTACATACATGCAACTAAAACACTCATACACAAACTCAATCAATCAATCAATCAATCAATGCCTGAAGTAAGTCCCCTTCTCTCCAACCACAGGGGCATGTGTTCAGGCCCTGATCACCCCTCTGCCAACAGCTGCCTCTCAGCCTCCAGTCTTGTCCCTCCCCATTCATGGTTTCTAACTCAAGGCCAAGTATAGCAACTGTCTAAACTGACGTCAATGCCTGCTGTCTCCTTTACTAGACCTTGAACTTCTCAGGGCTGGGTCAAGTCTTCATCCTTTAAATCCTGAGGACTCAAGTCAATATGTGTTGCATTAACAGGCTAATAGAAGGGTAGAAGAAAAGAAAAGATAGAAAATAAATGGTGGTGTGTGTGAGTACAGTGGACAGATGGATGGATGCTATCAGAAGATGGTTGGAGGCATGGATGGATGATCAGAAAGACTGATGAAGGGGTAAGATAATTGAACGTACATACAAGAGACTGTCTTGTGTAGAATGGGCTTTCTCTGCCCTTGCCCTCCTTACTTGGTGGCCTCCTGTCGTTTGTAGAAGGTACGATTAGGGAAGTTGACAGACAGGAAACTTTCATCATCTCTCAAAGTAGGGATCTTCCCACTCCTGGTAGAGGATTGGACAGCAGCCCTCAAAGCCTTCCAGGTCTGCTTTTGGGGACCTGTCCACAGTGAGATCAAGTCAGTGACACTCTCCTGCATCACTGGGCAATCCCCCCACACCCACAGTCTAGGCCCACCCTACAACTGAGAGCACAAGTCTCTGCTTCTGAGTACCATGGGCCTCACCGCCACACTCACCACAATCCAGCTCCTCCTGTAACTGTCTGTGCAGCCTTTCCAGGTCCCAGGGCCCCTTCAGCTCCTTGGTCTTTGACCTTCCCCTCTGCTGCCCTCGGAGGCTTTTGGAGCTGGAGCCACTGCCCTGGCTTTGGCCCTGCAGCAACGTGTCTGCTGGGGCCCTCTCTCCAGAATTCCTCCCCTTTTTGCGAAGGCTACCCTTTCTAATGTTGGGGGCACTGTGCTCCTCCTCCTCTGTGGCCTCTGAAATCCACCCCTCCTCCAAGATCAAGCTCCTGTCTGGGAGCTGGAGCAGTTCCCCAGGACTCAGAACCCTCTCAGCCTCTTCAGTGCCTTGACTTTCCAGCTCAGATGCCTCAGACCCTGACCCCAACCCTGACCCTTTCCCTGATAGCCAGGGGCCACACTCGCTGGATGGTTCCAGCTGTTCATTCTCCACTTTGCCCAGAGGGAGGGCATTGCTGCCCCGGGCCCCCAGCTGCTGTCTCCTCTCCAGGTTTTGCACATCTATCTTCTGGCAGGAGCCAAGTTCCTCTGGGAGGGTGACCATGGACTTGCGCCTGGACTTGAGCTGGGGGTCTGCTGGAGGCAAGAGCAGGGATCGGTGGCCCAGGGCCACAGACGAACTTGGCTGAAGCAGAGCCCGGCCATCTATAATGAAGCTCTCCCAGGCCCACTGGAAAGGGAAAGAAGGCCTCCGGAAAGGTGGGATGAAGAGACTGAAGAAGGAGAGGGCAGGTATCAGGATGAGGGTCCTCTGGGTCCCCAGCTCACCTCGCACCCATCCCCAATTGCTTACTCCTCAGCCTCGGCCAAGCTTCGTCCTTTCTTGTTCCACCTCCGGGGCCTGCGTTCTTTTTTTGATGCCTGCCCTGCGCTCTGAGACCTCTGCAGCTGGCAGCTCTGACTCTGCTTGCTGTCACCACTCCCTAGGTCCCCCTGGACAGACACAGGAGAGGAGGCCAGCTCTGAGCAGCCTGCTGAACCAATCTACACCTCCCCAGGAACTTCCTCAGCTTACACTTTGGCTATGCCCTGGCGACCTCTAAAACTGATCACTCACAACCGCTTCTGTTAGAATAGCAAGAACTACAGATCTGGGTTGGCGAGATGGCTTAGCCAGGAAAGGCAACTGCTGCCAAGCCTGACGACCTGAGTTCAATCCTTGGGACTCACATGAGGGAAGGAGAAAACCAACTCCAGTAAGTTGTTCTCTGACTTTTTTCTTTTTTTTTTTTGGTCTTTTTGAGACAGGGTCTCCCTGTAGCCCCAGCTGTCCTGGAACTCACTATGTAGACCAGGCTGGCCTTGAACTCACAGAGATCTGCCTGCCTCTGCCTCCTGAGTGCTAGGATTAAAGGTGTACGCCACCATGCCCGGCCTTGTTCTTGACTTTTTTTAAATTTAGAAAAGTGGCTGGGAATGGTGGCATGTGCCTGTAATTCCAGAGACCCAGAAAGCTGAAATGTGGGGGTTTTGAGTCCAGGCCAGCCTAGAGACTTGGGAGGGAGCCTGTCTCAAACACACACTCCCCCGCCACTAAAAAAATGAAAACCCATTTTTTTTAAATGTCCCACAGGGCTCTGGACATGGTACAACAAAGATAGAAGGAAGGAATTTTTTTACTCCTAAATCCCTTTTCCTCCCTGCAGTGTTCCCTAAATTCCTCCATCTTCCCTCTCTGGTCCCTTTCCCACCCACTCCTCCCTAACTGTCACCTGGGCCCGAGCATTCTCAAAAGCCTCAGCCAGCCCTGGCTTCCCCTGGCCCAAGATGGCACTGGACAGTTGGAAGTTCCCCGAAGCAGCCTGCCTCCCTTACCTGCTCATCATGGGAGATACTTGATAGAAGTTTGAAAAACCCTTTGGCTGGCCCTGGAGCCTGCAGATCCCTACTCTGCGGTGGTCTCTCCGATGTGGCCCTAGCCAACAGTTGGTCGGTGTTTAGCATGTTGGTGTCCTACCCTCTCCCACCCCAACCTGCCAGCCCTAGAACTGTCCTCTTGGTCATCTCTATGGCAACCAGTCCTTGGCCAATCTGAATGACTCTGGCAAAAAGCACCGGGGTGTATGGTGTGGGGGTGGGGGGCATGGATCCAGGGTATGTGAGGCTGACTTCTAGAGAGAGCTTTCAGTAGGACTGCATCCTGTCTCTGTCCCACATCTCCTGCATGACCTGGTGCAAGTTCCCTGCCTCACTAGGCCTGTGTTTGCCCATCTTGCAAAAGTCACCTCAGAACTGACCATCTCAAAGGATCCTCAGATCTTATGAAGATACCTAGTTGGTCACTGAAGTAGGTCTTGTCCCTCAGCCTGCCTCCAGCCTGGGCTGAGGCTGTGAGGTGCCAAACTGAATTCCCATGAGATCTTATTTAACTGCTTGCCCTCCAGACCCCCTAACCAGGCCAGGCAGTTGAATCCTGACTCGGGAGAGACAGAAGGCAAATCAGAGTCAAGAATGATAGCATTTCAACCTTTAAAAAAAAGATTTGTGGGCTGGAGAGATGGTTCAGTGGTTAAGAACACTGATTGTTCTTGCGGAAGATACAGGTTCAAATCCCAGCACCCACATGGCAGCTAACAACTGTCCGTAACTCCAGTTCCAGGGGATCCGACAGCCTCTTCTGTCCTCCGCAGGCATTGCACGACACAGGTGCACTTGCATGCAGGCATAACACTCATACACATAAAAAAATAATAACAAATAAATTAAATTTAAAAAAAGTAAAAGACACCAGCTTAGTCTACATAGTGAGTTCCAGGCCAGCTGGGACTACAAAGAGACCCTGTTTCAAAAAGACAAAAAAAGAAAAGAGAAGAAAAGAGAAAAGAAAAGAAAAGAAGAAAAGCTTGGCATGTTGACTGTGACTGGCAAAGTGTGTCCTTGTTCCCTTCATCGTAGCTCACAGAGTTCATTCTCCCCGTGAGGAAAACGCTAACTTGCCTCATCCGTGTTTTGCTGCACCTGTGGGAGACCGTCCCTGGCTTACGAGCCTAGGACCGAGTGCAAAGTCTTAATACAAACATACACTTAATCTGAGATTGTCCAACAGAAAGGCTATACCAGCTACGCACCTACAGAAGTGACCGAAACATTTCTGATTGCCACATTCTCACCAAATCTTGGTTCCTGTGAGTCACCTAGTGAATTTGTCCAGACCCTGTGGTTATAAAGTGATAGTTCGTGGTGCTTTGGGTTGAGTTGTCCTGATTACTTCATTAATCTTGGAGGCCAGTCCTTCCATGAGTCACTGATTTATTTATAGTCATTGCTCAATTCTGTTTTCCTTTGTGTATGTGTGTGCATGTGTGCGTGCATACGTGTGTGTGTGTGTGTGTGTGTGTGTGATGGAAGCCAGAGGTCAACATCTGGTGTTTTCATCAATTGTCCTCCACCTTGGTTTTTGAGACAGGGGCTCTCACTGAACCTGGAGCTCACCAATTGGGCTACACTGGTTGATGAGGGAGCCCCAGGGAACCCTCCTGCCTCTGCCTCCCTACCTCAGAGACTGCAGATACTTGAAACTGTGACTGGATTTTTTTGTTTGTTTGCTTGTTTTATGTGTAAGAGTGTTATGCCTGCATGTACGTAAGTGCACCCGTGTCGTACAATGCCTGCAGAGGACAGAAGTGGCTGTTGGATCCCCTGGAACTAGAGTTACAGACAGTTGTTACCTGCCGTGTAGATGCCGGGATTTGAACAGTTAAGAATAGTCAGTGTTCTTAACCACTGAGCCATCTCTCCAGCGCCGTGACTGGATTTTTTACATGGCTGCTGGGAATCAAACTCAGGTCCCCATACTTGTGTGTGGCAAGTACTTTCTCCAATACCCGCCAACATACCCAGTTCTGGGATTGAAACCCCGAGCCTCACATGCCCATGCTAAGCACATTCTTACCCAGAAGCTGCAGTCCCAGCCCCTCCATTGTGTTTTTTGTCTTTTCCATATTGTTTTGCAGGAGTGTTGTATCTTATTTTGTTTAGGATAGTGTCTCCTGTCACCCCCCACCCCTACCACCACTCCTGCCTGAGGCTTCCAGTGTCCCAGCACTCGGGAGGTAGAGGCAGGCAGATAGATCTCTGTGAGTTCAAGGCCAGCCTGGTCTACATAGCAAGTTCCAGACCAGCTGGGGCTACAGGGACCAAAATATTAAAAAATAAAGGCCTAGGCTGGCTTCAAGCTCTGTATGTAGCTGAGGATAACCTTGTACTCCTGACCCTTCTGCTTTCCCTCCTGAGAGCTGGTGCTATAGGCCTGTGTCACTATGCACAGCTTGGTGTCTTAGATCCTAACTTTCTTTATTGGTTATGGATCTATTGAAGTTTGTGCTAATTTGTTCCAATTTGGACATTCCACATTTTTCTAGAAATGTATTCACCTCACTTGTTTTTTAAGATTTTTTTTTTTTTTTTTTCTTTTTGAGATAGGATCTCCCTGTAGCTCCAGCTGGCCTAGAACTCACTATGTAGACCAGGCTGGCCTCAAACTCACAAAGATCTGTCTACATCTGCCTCCCAAGTGCTGGGATTAAAGGCATGTGCCACCATGCCTGGTAAGATTTATTTATTTATTATCTTATTTATTTATTTATTTTTTGTCTTTTTTGAGACAGGGTCTCCCTGTAGCCCCAGCTGTCCTGGAACTCACTATGTAGGCCAGGCTGGCCTTGAACTCACAGAGATCTGCCTGCCTCTGCCTCCCAAGTGCTGGGACTAAAGGCGTGCGCCACCATGCCCAGCCTAATCTTATTTATTTTTGTTTTATGTGTATGAGTGCTTTGCCTGCATGTATATAAGTGCACCCATGTCACACAATGCCCTCAGAGGTCAGAAAAGGGCATTAGAGTTCCAGATGGTAGCCACCGTGTGGAATTGAACCTGGCTGTGCTAGATAGCTTTTGCTGTCAACTTGACACACCTGGGTAGAGTCCCAATGGAGGAATTTCCTCCATTGGACTGGCCTGTGGACACATCTGTGAGGTATTTTCTTGATTGTTGAGCAATGTGGGAGGTCCCAGTCCACAGTGGGTAGAGGTACTCCTGGGTAGGGTGCCCTGTGTTGTATAAGAAAGCAGGCTAAGTGGCTGGAGAGGTGGCTCAGCGGTTAAGAATGCTGGTTGTTCTTGCTGAAGACCCGGGTTCGAACTCTAGCACCCACATGGCAGCTAACAACTGTCTGTAACTCCAGTCCCAGGGGCATCCAACAGCCTCTTGTGAGCTCCGTCGGCATTGCAGGACATTGGTGCACTTACCTACATACAGGCAATACATGCATACACCGGGTGTGGTGGCGCATGACTTTAATCCCAGCACTAGGGAGGCAGAGGGAGGCAGAGGCAAGCGGATCTCTGTCAGTTTGAGGCCAGCCTGGTCTACATAGCGAGTTCCAGGACAGCTGGGGCTACAGGGAGACACTGTCTCAAAAAGACAAAAAATAATAATAACAATAATAATAACAATAATAAAGAAAAATAAAGAAAGCAGGTTGAGCACGGGCCAGGGGAGCAAGCCAGTAAGCCTGTGCTTCAGCTCCTGCCTCCAGGTTCCTGCCCTGAGTTCCTACCTTGGGCTCCCTCAGTGATGAACTGGGACCCGGGAGATGTAAGCCAAATAAATCTTTTCCTCCCCAAGTTGGTATTGATCAGAGTGTTTTGTCACAGCAACTGAAAGCAAACTAGAACACTGGGTCTTCTGCAAGAGCAGTCAGTGCTCTTAACTGCTGAGCCATCGCTCCAGCCCTTATTTTTAATCATGTGTATGGGTATGGGTATGTGTTTGTGAATGCAGGTGCCTGTGGAGGCCAGAGGCATTGGATACTCCTGGAGATGTGGTTACAAGGGGATGTGAACTGCCCAACATGGGTGCTAGGAACTGAACTCCTGTCCTCTTCAAGAGAAATATACACTCAAGCACTGAGCCATCTCTCCAGCCCCTCACTTAACTCTATATGTTTATGTTTAATCCCAGCACTCGGGAGGCAGAGGCAGGCAGATCTATGTGAGTTCCAGGCCAGCCTGGTCTACATAGTGAGTTCCAGGCCAACTGGGGCTACAGGGAGACCCTGGCTCAAAAAGACCAAAAAAAATTGTTTGTTAACATACAGTTATTTATAATATTCTCTAGTATTTCAATAGCTTAAACCCTTGTGGATTTAAGGATCTAGCCATATACAGCCTGTTGGCTCTGGGATGACTTTGGGTTTGCCTTACAGTAGGGGACATACTACAGGTGGGTTGGGAGCTGCCACTAAGTTTTAAAGGGAGAAAGGGTGTAGAATTGCCAAATAAGTAGCTGCTGGCCATGGTATAAAATTTCAGTAAAAAACATAATTAATATTGTCCATTGAGACACTGTAAGTACATCATGTATACAGACATAAGACAGGAGATTGGGGAATTGACTCATGTAACTGGTAGCTGAGATGCCCCACAACAGGCCATCTGTCTGCAGGCTAGAGATGCCAGAAGTGTGGTTCAGGAAAAAGGTGAAGCCCTTAGAGCCAGAGAACCAATGTTATTTTATTATTATTATTTTTATTATTTATTATTATTATTTTGTGTGAATGAGTGTATTGCCTGCATGTATGCAAGTGCACCCATGTTGTGCAATGCCCATGGACTCAGAAGAGGGCATTGGATTTCCCTGGGACTGGACTGACTGATGGTTATTAGTTGCCATGTGGGTGCTGGGAATAGAACCCAGGTCATCTGCCAGAGCAGCTGGTGCTCTTAACTGCTGAGCCATCTCTCCAGCCCCGGGAACCAACGTTACAATTCTCAGTCCTTGGCCAAAAGCCTGGATCACAGGTACAAATCAAAGGCTGGAGAGCCTGGATCCTGGTGTTCAGGTAGCATAGAAGTCTGTACTTGAACTCTCTTTTTTTCTTAATTGAATTTTTATTGAATTTTTACAATTTTCATACAATATAGTTTGATGGTTCTTAGATCCCC